TAGTCCCTTGCAAAAGACAACAGAGCATCAGTCTCTCTCGTGTCCTTTGTTACCCAATGCAGTGAAAAGTGGATTGCTGTAACAGAACACCCCACCTTCTCCATAAAAGAACCCATGGCACCTAACATCATTTTTAAAAGACAGCTAAAAACAATCAATTATTCACATATTAAAACATAATTAAATAAGCATTGTATAAAAATGTTAAATAAAAGCATAATTAAAACAGATTATAATGCATATAAAAACCACTGTGATTTCATGATTTCACTTCAAAACTACAATATATGTTTGTACCACCAATGAATGCTGACTGACAAACCTGGCAACAGTTATGATGTTGTGCATCTTGTGCTTTAGGACTTCAGTTATGAACCAACAGGGTTCAAATATATAATCATAGAACTGCAGGGCTGTAAGGACCCGAGTCCAGCCCCTCTCAAGGAGTCCATAGGCATCCTTCAGTCTCGAGAGACTATGGTAACATGCTCTGAATCGAGGAGTGTCCTCTCCAGAGCATGAAGCCTGGGTAGAGTAATATGGAGGATGGGCTGTTACCCAAGCAGCAGATCCCCCCTCTCCACGTCGCTGAAATGGTCCAATGGAAAGGCAAGAGCCAATACAACTGGTTCCAGCAACGTCGCAGGAGTTGGCAGAACGACACGAACTGCCTTCGGGACTCCAGCTCCAGATTTTGCCTCTAGGTTAACTCCTGAAGCCTTTTCCATCAGTGGATATAGCCACAAGGCAGTGGAGGTTTGGAATTGGAGTTTTCCTTCTCCTAGATGGGCTGCCTTCCAAGGCTGAAGGCCCTAACGAAATGAATTCAGCTTGCAGGGAGACACACAAGTCTAGCCCTTGCCCTCTTTCATTTATTTAAATAGGATGGGCACCATAAAAGTTCCCATGAGACCATTCTCACTGTTTGCAGTAGAACTCACTCCCATATAAATCTGCTTTCAAGCTGCAGTCGGAACCTTCCCTCCTGGGTGATGTTTCAAATTCAAGAACAAATGCATGCTGTGTCTCAAGGAGACACAGCAGGGAATCAAACTCCCAACCTGTGACTCCATAGCCAGAGACCGAAACCATCGAGCTATATGGTGAAGCTCTGAGAATGAGGACCACTGGTTGCTCAGTGGTGAATATTTATCATGGCGACATACACACAGCTGGTTGTGATCTAGCAACCAGTGCTGAAGAGTTTATTTATCACACACCTGCCCCAAATTAAAAATCAAAGAAGTCCAAGAGCACAAAGAGACAACCTCCTTTCTTCTTTTGTGCGGACTGGGTGTGTCACACATCCAAAAATTTGCCTTGAGACCTTACTTTCCACTAATGTGCTTCTTAACAAAGCAAAACAAACAAAATGTAATGCTGATTTTGCACAAACAGAAAGCGGCTTTAGGCCAGCTCAGGCTACTTGCCCAACTACTCTCCTATTGTCTATTTTTACCGGCAGCAGCTCTCCAAGCACAGGGATTTTTAACATCACTTTCTGTTTGATCCTTTAGAGATAACAAGGGATTGAACCCGAGATTTCTGCATGCAAAAGAATGTTCCCAGGGGACAAACATTCAGAAAAGATAGAACTGCTTTGGCTATGTGAAATTGTATTTGAAAAATCGATTCCATGCAGAATTGAGGCCAGGATTTCTGTTTTTAAAGAAAAGAGGGAAATGAATTCTTTTTTTTTTAAAGCAAGTCACTGTCATCCCTATTTAAGGAATGAAAGCCTTAAAATTCCTCAGATGATTTATACGGCAAGGAACCTGATTCTGAAACAAAACAAAGGTTTATAACTGGGCTCATTTTCTCAAGGTTATTTTGCACCTTAAGAGCAAGGCATGCTGAGACGTATCAAGCTCTTTGGTCACTGTGGGCAGAGAAAGATGAAGAGAGACCTATGGGAAGCCTACTTTAATTGAGCAGATGAATTGAAGGGATTAGAGTACTGTTATGTGTTGAACGTGGGGATCCCTTTGAAGCATACTCAGAAACTCTCACTGATACAGAATGTGACTAGAAGTAGCTGCCAGAAACAGATACTGCCAGCCTTGAAACCGTTCCATCAATTAGTTTATTCCTGGAGAGATTTCAAAGATTTGAAATCCTATACAGTGTGAGAATAGTGCACCTGAGACCCCTTCTGTGGTTTTTTTTTAAAAAATCTGAGATCTGCAACAGAGAGTGGCCTAGCTAAACTGTTTTTCAAAACGGTTTTGCTCCACCTCTCAGTTAAAAGCCTCAAACTTGACACAAGTCATACTCACACTGCAAAGTTGCAGCAGTTTGATTTAATTTAATTTAATTGCCGTGCTTCCATCCTAAAGAATCCTGGGACTTTTACTTTAGTGAGGTACCAAAAAGATCCCATTGGAGGGAGACATGACAGTTTGTGTGGTATCAAACTGTTATGGCTGGGTAGTGTAGAAACACTGAAGGTTAACCTTGTAGTATGGATTTTTTAAAAAAAAGTTTAAAAAGCATCAATCTTGATCTGGATTCAGTGATAATGTTTATATATTTCTTGACATGGCTCACCCTCCACATCAGCAAATGACTTTCAAGGTCATACTTTTCAACTATAAAGGAATAGTCTTGTGTCCAGTGTTTATAGTGATGATAGCAACATCCCAATAGAACTAACGATCCTATACTAATAATCTGAATATATATATATACACACAGAGACACTCACACAAAATCAGAGAAGTGAGCATATTCCTAATGCAGTATATTCAAGTAGATCACTAGTATATGTTTTAGTTACTATCTATGAAAACTATCAATTATCTAATATTAACATAGGAATAGGACTACCAAACTGTGAATAATTTTAATCAGCAGTTACTGAATATGAGTCGACTTGGTCATATAAAAACAGTTACAGAATAAGATTCAAAAGAGAGACAGTGAGATAAAGGGTATAAACAACTTCGAAAGCTTGTCATAGGGACTAGGTATTAGCCAGGGTTCCTAGCTCTTTACCAAGTGTAAGACTCTGCACTGATTCTCAGTTTACCATTTATGAAACTAATGCCCTTGTTACCCATAGACTTGTCTCTGCACCTGTTATTCACAGCTATGGAACTACGTATAGATATGGGAGCTATATTTAGTACAGTGGTGCCTCACTTAACGATTGCCTCGCTTAACGAGGAAATCGCTGTATGATTAGGTTTTTGCGATTGCTTTTGGGGGTTTTTCATTTAACAATGATTCGTTGCCTGCTTTGGGAACCGATTTTCGCTTTACGATGATCAGCAAACAGCTGATCGTCAGGTTTCAAAATGGCCGCCAGTTGAAGAAAATGGCCCCCCACTGTTTTCTAGGATGGATTCCTTGCTTTACAGGCACCGAAAATGGCTGCCATATGGAGGATCTTCGCTGGACGAGCAGGTATTCAGCCCATTGGAACGCATTGAACGGTTTTCGCTCTACAGCGATTTCGCTGGAACAAATTAACATCGTCAAGCGAGGCACCACTGTAGTTTCATTCTAATGTCTGAGGAAGTGGATTTGATATCTGAAAACTCAGATTAAAATATACAGTCTTTAAGGTACCACAACATTTTTGTCTTTTATATATTATTTTGTCTAATATTTTTGCATAGACTAACCTGACTGCTTCTTTGAAAACTAGTCCTGGAAACAGGCTGGACAGGGACAGTTGCATCATACTCCCACCCTAGCCTACAGGATATGCTTTCTTTATATCCTTTTGAAATATCTTTCCCTCCCCCCCCCGTGGGATTCTATGCATGGTTGGTTGAAAGAAAGCCACCCGTGCAGGAGGGTGGTGTGCTTGCTGAAAACAGGTACTTCTGACACCTTTGACCGCACAGTCTGTGCATGTGCCATGGCACAGCGAGGCTGGAGAAATCTGAGACTTTTAGTTCTAAAAATTTTATTACTTTCAGTCTTTGCTTCTATATGTCCCAAGTAAACTATTTCTTGTCTCAGCAGGCCCACATGCTCGACTGCATCCTGAGTCACAACAGAGGCAACCTTTTGAAGTACACAGAGGATGGTTTGGGGAGGTCCAAAACATATGGCAAGGTCCACAACTCCACGCCCACATCCATTTCTGTACACACTGGGTGTTATCTGCTTAGGGTTGCCAAATCTCTTGACAGCTTCTTGCACTTCAGTGAACTGCCAGACTGGCTGTGAGGCTGTGTTATGAAGCACATGCTATTGTCGTGAAGGTTTGGGCATATGGTTTGGCTTGAGCTTAGTTTTGGGTGAACACCTCTGTTTCATATTCATTCAGAGATATACTGGCTATTAACCATGTGGTTTCCAGGTGCTAGACCGTGCCCTGAAGGCAAATTAGGCATGGGGTTGGTTGCAAGGGCATGCTGGCTCATAGAGGACACTCCTCTGGATGCTTGGGGATCTTTAAGGCTTATTGTGGGATGCACTAAATTAAAGAGGATCTACTCTCAGTTAAGTGTACAGAGGACTATAGCACTGGTTGCCTTGGTCTGCTGGTCTTGCTCTTTTTTTCTTGCTCTAAGTATTACGATACTATTTTGTCACTGGTAAACTGCTGCATTTATTCTTTCTTCTAATCTGCTTTGATTATGGGTTCCAAATTAAAAAGCAGCCTAAAAATATCCATGTGAATATATTATGTTAAATAAAGGACCATAGAATGATGAGAAGGAAGCAAAGAGAAAACAACTCCCACATACTGATCAATTCCACAAGGCATTAATTAATTAATGGACAGCTTCTCTCCTCACCCAGTCACAGTAACTTCATGAATGCAGAGCCATTTAAGATCATTAAGATAATTATTTTCTCTTTTTGATTGCCAGTCAGGAAATTACCAGAATAACCTTTCATCTTCCCCTTGACAGATGACAGAGCAGTTGTGGATGGGATTTCCACTTTTATTTTTTTTTACTCCTCCCCCCCAAAAAAGTCTCAGACCCTGATGGACTCCCCACAGAAAAAAAAAAAAAAAAAAAAAAAAGTCTCAGGCCCTGATGGACTCCCCACACGCCAAAGGCTCTGCATCCTTAGATTGCAGCCTAGCTGCTCAGTCCTGGGTTTCTTTAATCAGAAATATGTCCCTTTACGTTCTGTGGGGCTTTCTTCCAGGTAAATTGGTAGGGGATAGGAGCCTCCAGAAATGAAAGCAGTGAACTCTGCCAATCCTCCATTTATGTCAATGCTGGGAAAAGCTTCACTTTGCACAAGAAGGAGGGAAAAACCCCTGAATTAGCTGCGTATGGGTCATTATGCAGACAAAATGGTGCCATTCATGCACATGTGGGATGTGTATGCATATCAACAGCAGGCTTTGGGGAATCCTATGCTTCACAGTACAGTAGTTAGAGAAAATGATAGGGAAAAGAAAAAAGAAACCACCAAGGAGGGAAACCCCCTCCTGAAACAGCACAATGGGACCCAAGCATGCTTACCAGTATGGTTAAAGGATGCTGGGTTTCGGATGGGGGAGGCGTATGGAATGGAGTCTCTTGGGACAAAATGTGGCTGGCTGGAATTCCGGAGAGGAACAGCTTCTCTTCCCCCCCCCCGGGTAAAAATAATTCTGGTGCAAGGCACACTAATTTTTATAAAATGTTGGCCCTCTGTCATGAGCACACATTGTCACTGGTGTGCAGATGGTAAAAGTAAAGCAAAGTGTGCTGCTTATATACTGCCCCATAGCGCTTCAAGCACTCTCTGGGCGGTTTACAAATTAATTATGCAGGCTATACATTCCTCCCCCCCCCCAGCGAGCTGGGGGCTCATTTTACCGACCTCGGAAGGATAGAAGGCTGAGTCAACCTTGAGCCGCTACCTGGGATTGAACCCCAGGTCGTGAGCAGTTTTGGCTGCAGGTCATGGCTGCGCCATGAGGCTCATTGGCACACGTTTTAGTGACGGTTTAACCACTGCGCCACGAGGCTCATTGGCACACAGGTTTTAGTGATGGTTCAAGCAACCTATGCCTAATCACTTATGCAAAAGGATCTCTTGTGAAGCCTTTTCTTGTCGCAGACAGAAAACTCAGATGATCCCAGCTTATCTAGATGGTCCTACCTCCACTGCTTTTGATTCAGATGAAAGGGATGTCCTCAGAGCACAGGGTGGTTCATCAGCATAAGGCAAGCTTGTTCTGTGTCTTCTCAGCTTGGGCTGTGTGGGGAAGATGCCAGCTCTCAAATCTTTGGGCCTCCAGATATTCTGACTCATAGGTCCCATAATACCTAACTACTGGTCATGAATGAGGGGCTTCTGGGAGATGAAGTTCAACATGATCTGTAAAGCCAAGGTTCCTTATGTCTGTTTGAGAACCAGAGTTTTGAGAAAGCTGACTACCACTTGTAGTACCTTCTATTATCTACAGGTCTGTTTGAGAACCAGAGTTTTGAGAAAGCTGACTACCTCTTCTAGTACCTTCTATTATCTACACTATCTGGAGAATTCTGTGGTTCTTAACCTTTGTTACTCAGATGTTTTTGGACTGGAACTCCCAGAAGCCTTCACCATCAGCTCTGCTGGCTGGGGTTTCTGGGAGTTGCAGTTCAAAAACACCTGAGTAACAAAGGTTAAAAACCAGTGACTGTCTGGAGAATTCTGGGAGCTGAAGTCCAAAGAAGTAAGTATTTCAAATTCTGCTGAGAACCTCTTGAGCAGTTTGTCACTCATAGGTCAGACATGGGTCATGTGTTATGCCCTCCCTTTTTTTAATCAGGGAAAATGAAAATAGTCCATTAAACAAATATCTCACTTCTACGTACTGTATATTTATTGGAGGAACCTCTTCACTGGAAGTGAGAATTTAGCATCAGTTCTTGTGCAGAACAACTGAACTGAACATGACTGTCAACGCAGCAGCCCCAGGCATGAATACTGAAAACTGAGATCCACAGGATTTCAGGAGGCTTGTTTCTGAGTTAACATACTCAGGAACAGGCTCATGTCAACATTGTTTGCAAAACCTGACAAACAAAATGAACTGACATCCACAAAAGTTTTCGAGCCAACAAGCTTCCATATAAGTCTTTCCCTCTCCTCCCTTTTAAAAAAATGACGTGGTTGCAATGCTATACCTGCAGGTCTCGGGAATCTTAGAAGGTGGAGGAAGGAACCATTGTATAACTGTTAATTTTAATCCTAGATGACCACATAATGAAGATACTTGAGATGTTTCAGAATTCAGTAAGGCAAACGGAAAGACACGAATGAAATCCAACTCGCATGTTTCTTTAATTAAAGAGAAAACGCGCAGGCCATGAGAGGAAGCTGATTTAAAAAAAAACAATTTGAAAAATATCAAGAACCACACATTCCTTTTTTGCTGAAAAAGGGAACTGGGGTGGGGGAAACATGTGAAAGATTAATTTTTGCAAGACCAGTAGTCTGACATGCACCAACAAGAACCACAGATGTCCAGAAGTCTGGAAAACATGCAAGATGTCGCTTGCTATTCCACAGGAGAGCAGCTGTTGTTTGCAAAACCACCGATTTGGTGAAACCTTTAGTCACATCAGAGGAACTTCTCCATAGGAAACAGCTCAAAAAGGAAGAGACTGCAGGGCTTGGTTGCTGTGCAACCAACATGAATATGACACAACTCCGGGAGGCAGTAGAAGATAGGAGGGCCTGGCGTGCTCTGGTCCATGGGGTCACGAAGAGTCGGACACGACTAAACGACGAAACGACAAGGACCACGTAATGAAGATACTTGAGATGTTTCAGAATTAAATAAGGCAAACAGAAAGACACGAATGAAATCCAACTCACATGTTTCTTTAATTAAAGAGAAAATGCGCAGGCCATGAAAGGAAGCTGATTTTAAAAAAACAATTTGAAAAATATCAAGAACCACACATTCCTTTTTTTGGTGAAAAAGGGAACTGGGGTGGGGGAAACACGTGAAAGATTAATTTTTGCAAGACCAGTAGTCTGACATGCACCAACAAGAACCACAGATGTCCAGAAGTCTGGAAAACATGCAAGATGTCGCTTGCTATTCCACAGGAGAGCAGCTGTTGTTTGCAAAACCACCGATTTGGTGAAACCTTTAGTCACATCAGAGGAACTTCTCCATAGGAAACAGCTCAAAAAGGAAGAGACTGCAGGGCTTGGTTGCTTTTCTGTGCCAGCTGTGCAACGACCCCTCCCCTGCCTTTGTACTTATGTATTGTAACTGATACCCAAGCCATCTATTCTGCAGGAGCTGTGCCGACTTCAAATGAGTGTCTCGTGCCACTGTCAGTTCTGCATCACCATAGCTTTCTGAGATCTCCTACGTCTTCTTCACCCCATTCATCTTTATCGTAGCCCAGGGCACACAAGGCAGCTGAGGGCAACCCACCTACTCTACTGCAAGCCATGTAAAGGTGCCAATACCTGTAGGTTGACTTGCTGAGGGTTAGGGAGCCTATTTCATTTCCCTTTCTCAGAGCAGGCTTCACTCCAGCCTTCACAGAGCTATGCCAGAAAATTTCAATTACACACCAGTTGAGAGTACATGTAACTTCCTTGCAGTTACACTTGTGTACACAGAGGATGGCAAACTTCCTTCTTTGGACTACAGCTCCCAGAATGGGGGATTCTGGGAGTTGTAATCCAAAGAGGGAACTTTGCCAGCCTCTTTATCTAAATATTCTTCTTCTCACTAAAAGCAAGAGTGGTGGTGATTTCCCCAAGCAAATGAAAAAAAAGGAGAGCAGTAAAGGCTCATCCTTTCCTCCCTGCCTTGGTTTTTAGGGATGCTGGATCCCTAATAAAGCCGCACCCAGACCACACATTGAGGCTTTATTCGCCAGGCGGTGTCCAAAAAAATTGCATCCTGATAATAAACAAATAAATAAAAATTAGGAAAAAGCCCCCGTCGTTCCCTCGCTCCTGACACGCCGCTGGCTCTGGTGGTCGGTCACCGAAGTCGCTCCCGGGCGTCCGTTCCTCGGTGGCCAGCGGGAGCCCTTCGAGGTTTGGCGAACCCGCTTCGCTCGTAGAGTTCAAGAAG